ACTACCACTACTACCACTACTACCACTACTACCACTACTACCACTACTACCACTACTACTACCACTACCACTACCACTGCCACTACTGCTGCCACTACTATGCTGCTACTACTACTGCTACTACTACTGCTACGACTACTGCTACTACTGCCACTGCTGCTGCCACTGCCACTGCCACTGCCGCTGCCACTGCCACTGCCACTGCCACTGCCACTGCCACTGCCACCACAACCACCACCACTGCCACTACCACCACCACTGCCACTGTTTTTTTTTCACGAGTCGAGGCGCTATGTGTGCAGGTTCTGCACAAGTCACCTTGGTCAAGTTGAGAAGGAGTTACTATACAGGTTGCGAACAAAGCCTCCAACCACAACCCAACAAAACCACAAAACCACCAAAAGAAGGAAGCAACCTCCGTAAGAGAAGAGGTGAGACAGGGGCTTGAATTCCGCAAAACTCTCAGTACTTCTTGTCCCTCAACAACTGCTTTGTACTCGCTAAATGCATGGCATAGTCAGGAAGTTTGGAATTTTGGAGATGGTAACGGGTGGTACATCGAGACTCCCCTCCACGAGTTTGAAGCAATGACAAGTTGTGTGCCTGCTACGCACTTGAGAGGCGTGTGAAAACTGCCTGCAGAGGGTCCACTCAGGACAAGGTGGATGCAGGCTGAGTTGATCAGCTTCCTTCGATGACCTGGAGCTCAAAATTTGGCATGTTGTGGCAGCTCAAGGGAAGACCACTGCGCTTACACTCGGAATCTCCAAAACGCTGAAAGAGAAGGAGGAGTGTGGCAACCACCATGCAGTCTCAGCCAAGTAGGCCACTGCAACGCAGCATGTCCGGATCCTCCCCCGAAGAGGGAAGGGGCAACATTGAGAGGGTCGATTCCGTAAGGACTCCAAAACAGCTTAGCTTGGCAACAGGGGTAATGCGAGAACCGCTCCCAATTGTGAGCGAAGGAGCGCAGCATTTACATCAGAGATGCAGCAGTCAAGCACATTGCAACCAATCTTCAGTGGCCAGCCAAGATCGGCTGGCATGCAAAGCCCCATGAACTACACGAAAATGAGTGAAACAGGGTGAAACGCCGTTTTCCTGTATCTGTACACTATACCCATCCAGCGCCGCTTCGCGGGTAACAGCCTGGGCTCTGTCTAGCTACTCAGGCTGGCAAATTTTGTGGTCAAAACGTTGTGGTACTCACAGGACCAACACACACGGGTGCCAGTCTGAGAGGCTAGCTTTGAGGTGTTAGGCATTGTGCTTGCTCAACCTGCACAACTGCTGGTGAGCAGCATGGGGCAGGTTTATGCCTCCAGT